TGTGGGAGTGGTCATCTCTCATATGGGGGACAAGAGCTCCACCATGTGCTGCAAGGACTCTGTCAGGTTTACTGAGGACCTGCTACATGTCATACATTATGCTAGTATGTGGGCTACACCAAAATAGTTATTGCCCCTTGAGATGTTTATAGTCTGTCAGATGAGAGTAGCAAGGAACAAGTACAGTAATCCCCATTATTTGCAGTTTTACTCTCAGCTACTTGTGGTCAACCATGGTCTGAAAATGAAATGGAAAAGTCCAGGAATAAACAGTTCCTAAATTTGAAATGGTACACTGTTCTGAGTATCATGATGAAATGTCTCCCATCTCACTTGGTATGTGAATCATCCTTTGTCCAGTGTATCCACAGCATATGTGCTACCCACACATTACTTAGCAGCCAACTCAATGATCAGACCAACTGTCTTGATACTATGGTGTTTGTGTCCAAGCAAACATTAAATTAAGCTTTATTATAGACTTGCGTATACATCAGAAAAGGTATAGTACACATGAACTCTTGTTCAGTACTATAAAAATCCATGAAATCATAACATAAAATGTGACTCATCTGATAAAAAGGTTCTTTGTGATTCTTCTTACAAACACCACAAAACACAAGTCAAACACAAGCTCCTGATGGCGAAACAGCTACGCTGTAGCAGGCCAAGTCAAGATGCTTTTGGAGACAGATGTCTGAGAGTATTTTGAAGACTTTGATGTACTTGGAAATTTCAAGCTTGAAAGATCAAGAAGCAAGAAGAAAACACATTCAATATTTTAAAGAATCAAGGGATCAAACTCCTCAATTGACCAACTGGAGACTCAGAAAAGCAGTGATGTGCAACTTAAATCCAACAAGGACAAATTCTAGCTAGGAATGGGCTTTTTACCCCTTATGCACAGGAATGAGATCCTAAAGAAATGCCAGGCATGCCCATCAAATGCCCTCCTGCGTAGCATGATACAGGCACTACACCAACCAGAGAAAACACCATCCTGGGCTTGTGCTCCTGGACCAATTTCAAGGTGACAGGATACTGCAAGGGATAAATAACTTGATCCATGGAGGACCAGTGGTCGGCCCAGAGCCTGGCCAAGCAGTTCTTCCCACTGCTTATGGAGAGGAGGTCAAATCTCCCCACCTGTAGCACTTAGGCAAGAAGAGGAGGGAACATGTATGTCATCTGGCACCGATGACAAAGTGGTTGATGAAAGCCAAATCCAGTCCTTCAGTGAGTCACACACAAGGTTGAGTTTGAGCCTAATGTGCAAAGAGCATGGCCCTCTCTAGAATCCTGACTTTGGTGCCTGAATGGCTGTCATGATCTAGTCAAGGTCTCCCATACAGGGTTAGGCTCTGCAGCCACATCTCCTTAGCAAAACAACAGGGCTGGGAGAGGAAAGGAAGAAGAGTCTGTAGGGAATGTGACCCTGATTTCCTGGAGAATGAAGACGTGGATGCCACTGCACAGGCTGGAAGCTGAACGGCCTGATGAATAGTAGAGCAGGAACTGGGGACTCAAGAGTCCAAATGAGATCCAGCCCTCTCTTCCTGATGCCATTCCTCCCTCTTTGAAAGGTTCTTTGTATATTTTAAAGTCAAGGGAAAGATCTGGACAAAAGAGAAGCTGTTCCATTCACAAAGTACATACCTGTTGGAACAAGATATTCATTGGGGCATCAGGCAGGGAAGGTCAAGGGGCCCTGAGACAGCTTCCCGCGTCCCCTGGCAATGGCCAGGCCTAGCACACCACCCCACTCTGAATCAAGGGCAGGGCATGCTGCCACCATTACCAGCTGCTCCTCCAGCACCAAAACAAGCCATGCTTTTCTCTTTCCCACGCTCCTAGGTTGAGCAGCAGGTGTGGTCCACTGCGGCAGGTTGACATCAGCGAAAAACACATTCCTGGCTCCTTCAATCTTGGTGACACGTGCAGTTTCTGAGGCTGGATTGCACGTGACCTCTGGGTCAGAATCTGTTTACTCATCCACACAACCCACTCATTTATCAGCTGACACCCTGCCCTTGAGATTCTTCCCTGCACAGCCCCAGAGGTGCCCAGAGGTGTCAGGAGACCCTCACACACAGGAACTGTGGCAGTCTCCCCCACCCCACCAATGATGGTACTGGGAGCCCCTTGCTTGGAAGATGCTGATGGAAAGCCTGCTCCTTCTGACCCATCTCTATCTTGTCTGCCTCTTTAAATCCACCATCCTTCCATCCATCCATCCATCCATCCACTCACTCATTAGGTGCCCCCAGTACCCAGCTTGAGCTAAGGAGTACAGAATGGAATGGTGACCTAAACCCAGCAGGAGTGTCTCTGCACATTTCATGTCTCAGCGAGAGGAGACATCAGAAATAAGAAAACAAATAAACCAGTTCTGTGAGTGATGCAAGGTATGATGGACAGATATGGTTAAGGTTTGAATTTTTAAAAATGTATTACAGTAAAAGACATATTGCCATGAATTTCCCTTAGAGTATACACCCTTCACTTCACACACAGTCAAAATCATCATTCTTTCCACTTTCTAAAAACAATCTGGAAGTCCTCTTTCATGAGTGTCTTTAATTGTGCTGCTGTAGCTGCCTTGACTCAAAATATTTACTTTTCACAGTCATTTTGACTTTGGGAAAGAGCTAGATCCGATGAATAAGGGCACACAATATTGTTTTTATTAGGCTGCCTTTTTGTTGAAGAGGACTCACCTGAAGCACTCACCATATTTTCTATCACATTTTATAAAGACACTCAAGAAAGAAGACTTCCAGAACTGTTTCAGAAAAGTCAAAAACAGTAAGAGAAGTGTGTATGAAGTGAGGGAAACATTTTGAGGGGTTTCCTGATAATGCATATTTCACTGTAATAAACTTTTATTTAAACATTCACTGCACATTTTGATCACACAACATAAGCACCATGGGAGTGTCAGAACTGGCAGAGGGACATGTGATTCATTCTGCCCTGAGAGAAGACACCTGAGTTGAGGCCAGTGTCCCCATCTGGTTCCCCAAGGGGAGCAGTGATGGAAGACCTGTGTTGCTATGAGAGGCAGAAGGCTTGGAGACACGATGTTCTCCTAGCTCATCAGACACAGCAGGTGCTGGTGCAAGCTGTGGCTGATGGTGTATGCTGTGGAAAATCCTGAGACCTCTTGCTCCAAGGGACAGTCCTTTCTGGACAGCTGCTGGAGCAGAAACCCACACGCTCCCTTCCAGAAAGAATGTGAGTATAGCTGGCTAAACCAGGAATACTACACCCATCTGAAGACAGCTTAAGATTGGCCTAATATCCTCAGGTGACACCAGAGAGCCAGTAGCTGCTGACCTTCTAGTCCTACCAGTCACAGTGTCCTGGAGACCCTAGCCAGCTCCTGCCAATATTCCTTCTCCCAGGGGACTGGAATTCTCACCTAGCTTGTGGGGGAGACCCTATGAGGTATCTGGGGTTTTTTTCTCTGTAGAGGGGCTGTTGCAGACTGGCTTCTGCCATGTGACACAAGCATCAGGCCAGGTGGAGGTGCCTCCCCTTTGGAATATTACAGCTTCCGCGTGCCTCCCAAGGTGTCAAATGACCTTGATTCACACTGATGAAGTAATGACTTTCAGTCTCAACCTTCCCATCTATTAGTCTAATTGCGACACAGCCCTCTATGCACAGAACCAGTTCCCAGGAGCCAGCTCAGGGAATCAAAAACGCCTCCCAGGCTCAACTTACCAAACTCGTGGTCACACAACCTTGCAGGTGCCTGGAACTGCCTTGGCACACAGCCACCGAAGATCCAGCAATAGGAAAGCATGCAAGCAGAGGCTGAAGAGTGGAGCTCATTCTCAGCTCTCCTTTTGCCATGTGACTTTGGACAAATGGTTTAACCTCTCTCAATTTTTGTATCTAGACTATCAGTAATGATACAGCTATGGGAAGAAACAAAAAGCAACTGTGTACCCATTCATATAAGGGAAGGTGGTTTTGCTCTGTGGAAAAACTGGTCACAAGTCTTTACCCAAGGAGTTCCTAGGGCATGAGAATTGATATCCACATACAGACAACAACCTAATATGACGTTTTACGTATTTCAGCCAGTAAACTTCCAGTAGGAAATCCATGCAACATTATAAAGCTTTATAGTAAGATGCCAAGAAATTCCTATAGATGTAAGCATAATGCATGTATTCTTGACCTGAGACTAATCACCTGAACACCCATAATTGAAATGTGTGTTGCAGTAACAGCTACAGCATGACCCTCTCCTGAGATATGGTGGGTGGGCTGTGAGCCAGGCCAACTTTCTGAGCAATTTCCTCTGTAGCTTCCAATTTATACAGTAAGGGAGAAGAAACAAGGGGCTTCCCAAAGCTACTGTGCCAAGTGGATTCCTCTTGGGTCAACAACTCTTCTGCCCACCTGGGCCCATTATTCATCAGAAGGCCTCTTTAGAAGACATAAATAGACTTCTAGAATTCTATTTATTATCCAAAAGAGGGACATGACTTGAGTCCTTCCTAACCTATAGGCAATAAGAGTAGCATGATTATGGCACCCAAGGGCTTGGATGTCAGTGGCTACAGACTGAGCAGAGTGGACAGGAGCTGGGAGGCAGGGGAAGTTTGCCACACCAGTCACATGCCTTGGCTGGTGGCCTTCACCAGCATCCACAGAGGCTGCCACCAGATTAATGAGCAGGGCTTGTCCTCTTAGTTTTAGCCCTGGAAGACTGGAAAATGCACACACCAGCAGTAGCAGGCCCCTCAGAAAGAAGTACAAGAACCCAGGGACCCAAGGCAGCCACTTAGAAGAAGGCATCTCGGACAGGCCATGGCCAAAACCATCCTCCTCACTCTCTGCACACAGACTCCCCATCTCTATCTGTAGCCCCACTGCCAACCCAAGTTCACCCCTAATACCCATCCTCCTTCCTCTCATATCTAGGTCGTCAGACAGCTCAGCCCTTCTTTCCCCAGAGTCCTTCTCATGACCTGGAAGGTCCTCACCTCAGAGCAGGCTCCTGCTTAACCCCTTGGGTCATCCCTTGCCACCATGCAAGTAGGTGTCTTCCTCTCTGACCTGTGGCCAGGTCACTCCCGTTCTGCTGTCATGGCCTGCTCCCCTAGAATGTTGGTCCCCAAGTCTAGCTCTTTCTCTGCTCCTCTGTCTGCAATTTCCTTCTTCTCTTCCCCTCCTTTCTTGCCGCTCTCTGTCACCTTACACATTTTATTGTCCCTACAATACACATCATATTCTGACATGATCTTTCATTTTCTGTTGACAAATCTTGTAAGAACATCATAAAGATAGAGACACAATTGCCTTATTCACCACCATGGAACAATTCCTGGGCTACAACAGGGTACTCAAAAGGTCACTGGTGACCCCCACTATCACTACTACTAATCATGAGAACTTCAAGCAAACAGAGCAGGTCAAGTACACAGACCTTTCATGGTGACCAGTGACCAGTGTCAATCCTGTGGACTGCAATGCCTGGGGGACACTTAGTGCAGGGGTGAAGTCCCACCCCTGGCCTTCTTCCCTGTAGCACTATCCCTCCCTGCAGGCACTGGCGACAGACACAGTTGGCCCTGTCCTCTGCACTCCAGAGCCCCAGGCAGAAGAGTGCCTTGTGCCTTCTTGGCCTGACCATCAGGACAGAAAAGCTTTCCAATTTCCCCATCTGTAAAACAGGGACAAAGAATGCTTTGTCACCCCACCTACTTCTCACGGGTGTTATGAAACAACTGTTTGCTCGGAAAACACTTTGAGCAACTTGGGGAAAGGTGCCCATGGCTCAGATGGCGCCCGCTGTGCTCAGGCCAGCCAGGGAGGGTGAGACTGGCTTGTCTCCGGTCACTGCTGTACTGCCTCAGGGGCAGGAGGCACAGTAGCCTCTCTCGTGTCACTATTAATATGTGACAAGCCTATGCCACTGAGCCCATTGGCGGGACTGTGCTCCCCGCATAGGTCCGTGAGTTGGTGTGCATTTCCAGGTCTCCACACTACCGATTTCAGCAGAATGCAGACTTGCCATGACTGGGAAGTGATCCCTAAACCCCCAGCCTGCCTTTCACCAGGAAGTAGAACACAGGGTTACCTGGGGTAACCCATGGGAGCTCTTGCCTAGGGGGCAGGACTGTGGCCTTGGTGCCAGCCTCCAAGGCAGGGAGCTGGCAACAAAAATGAGAAATCTTGGCTTTAGGCCCAAGAAGGGCAGATCATAACCTGCAGCCACTCAGGTGCCCCTCACCACGCAGGGGATTAGAGCCAACAACAGTTGCCTCCTCATTCCTTTGCCAAACACCCTCTGCCCCCAAGAGGAGCCATCTCCTGCCCTGACCATGCATTTTTCAGTGCTGTGCAAAGCTGGTCAAGGTGGAAAGTGGAGGAGATCCAAGGCCTGGGTCATCTGAAGGCTGAAGGACACATCTGCCACATAGTCAATCATCAAACTTTGTATTGCACAGGGATTCGAAGTCCCAGCACCCTCACGCTCTTCTCAAAGCACCCACCCAGACCACTGCTTCAAAAAGAAAGTGCACCTCTAAAGGTGATTTAGGCAGTGTTTGGCAGACAGCAAACACCAGACAGGCGCGTGTTTAATTATAACCCTCCTGCATTGGAAGGGCTGGCTACACACAGCATGTCTGCCTGTTACTAATTATATTTACTTTCAAACGAGGTGGGGGGGAGGGTCCTTCTGAAGATGAGTCAGAAAAAAAAAGCCCTTGACTGTGATGAAAGCAGAGGAATGTCTCCTGAGGGTGTCTGTGATGCGCTGTCACCGCCAGACAATGGAAAACCTGAGCACAGAGCCAGCCTGCCAGTAAACACCTCTCACAGCTCTCCTGGGCCAGCATCCCTTCAAGCTGGTGCCTGAGCTGCATACCAAGCCACCATGATAGAAAGCGTTCTTTTCCCCTCCCTGCTTCCCTCCCTCTCTCAGCACTGGCTTAGCATCTACTTCCTGCCCAGGCAGCAGGCCCTGGCATCTGCTGTCACACTCACTGGGAGGTGGCGTTCCAGGGTAAGTGCAGCGAAGGTTGTTCCCTCATCAGAGGAAGTGCATTCTGACAGATGGCCGGGATGGAAAGGCTTTATCCTCAGCCCCTGTCCCAGCCAACAGTGTTAACAATAACAGCCCTACAGATGCTGCGAATCACATGCAGTCAAACACCTAGAAACCCAAAATAGTCACCCACATGTGGTGCAAGGTCGTCTGCACCAGCACAGTGCCTCAGCCTTGTGCATATGTGGGGACTCACATCTGTCCCTGCATCTGTCTATCTGTGTGTTTGTTGGCTAAAAGAGTTACATGTGCATAACTGTCTTGGGGGCCAGGTTCCCCCGCCCAGTCCCCATCTTCTGCCTCCTCCCAGGGCCACATGGGTTGTGTATCTTTTGTGCAATAGGCCCAGGGGGACACAAGCATCCAAGAGAGACACTCAGAGTCTTCCTGTTCAGGACGGGTTTTCCAATTTTTTTAAAAATAGTTATACTTGTTTTGTTTATTTCTTCCTGGAAGGCTGCACTGTTTTGGAAAAGGAGGGGGAGGAAATTTTTTAAAATGTGAGTTCACTTCCTGAATCTTTTCAGACCATCAGGAGCTATGGCGAGAGAGCAGAGAGGTTTCAGGCAGGTAGTGCACTCAGAACAGAAGGGCTGGTCCCCCACACTGGCTTTCTTCAAGTTCTTTGCAGGAAACTTTAGGACTGTGTTGAAGCCCTTCCCCAGCCCACCTCATCCCATCCTCCAAAAAACAGTTCTGACGTCCATTTTGGATTAGAATGAGCTTCCACGTGTGCTCAGCAGGGTTGGCTTATTAAATCAGTTTATCCAGCAGAGAAGACAGAAAATGGATCTCGGAGACTGATGCTTAGGCACACAGGAAAGAGTAGCAAGGACAGTCTCATTTGTACAGTGCTTTTCACAGACATTATGTCACCCACTATTCATGCCACTCATAAATCCAGTAGGGTGTACCCTTCCCAGGTGAGGCTCTGTGAGGACAGAGCTCCCCACAGACACCTCCAGCTCTCCGAAGAACCTGTATGGTTCCTTCCTTTGAGGGCAAGGTGGCTCGTGTCTATCACCCCCACTAGAGTGAGAACTTTGTAAAGACAGACACTCTCTGATATCCCCAGCGCAGGCACATAGTCGGGGTGCACTGGCCACTCAGTGTGTATCCTTGGGAAGAACAAAGGCATGAGACATGCTACTGCTCTGAAGCAGGAAAGAAGACCCAAATGGCATCTTGGAACTGTCTTTAAAAAGCCAGTTACAATAAGATACAGTTCATTTTGAAGCCAAACCTGTCCAAACTAAGTATGGTGCACCTTCAGGACCCAACTCTGGCCAGGACAGCCACTTCTGTGTTTCCCACTGGGGTACTGTGCAGTACAGGCACAGAGCAAGCCCCTCACAGGGCAGGTGGGTCAGGAAACCCCATAAACAATGGAGCATGGAGAACACAGAGCAATGCCTTTTCCAGCAGCTGCTGGGCAAGACAGGCAGATTGCGGAATCTGACCTATCAGCGCCACCTTTAATTCCCTGATCTGATTGCAGAGCAAAGCAGCAATCTCATTTTCAGAGCAATAGCTCAGTTCTGGTTTTGCCTCCCAGATTACTCCCAGCCCCCAATTTTGGGGTCCAAGCCGCTGAGAATGCCTCCTTTCTCCACCCTGCCTTTCCCTGCTGCCCTCAAAGCCTTCATATATTATGTGAGACAAGGTAAAGGACACCCAAAAGAACTAGCTGAGGAGAGCATCCTGGTGGGAGGGAAGGGTCTCATTAAACCAAACTAAAGGCTAAGTTTGCTCTTGGTGACTTGCTGGGCTTTTGCCTTATGGCACAAGCATTTAAATCTGCTGTAAGCTTACTGTGGTCTTGCCCTGGCATTGGCACTGGTACTGTTGGTGAAATTACAGGATGCTGCCCTCAAAAGGCTCTCAGTCTTCCAGGCAAATCAAACAAGGTCGCCACTGGTGGTCTTATATTAAGTGTAGACCATTAACCTGCCTCTGCTCTCCGTGGCTTTTCAGTTCTTCTGAGTTATACATGGAAATCAGTCTTCAAACAGAGCCAGATATTCTCTTTGGAACTTTTAATTTCTAGTCTTCAAGGTCCAGGTTTATAAGAAAGTGGATCCCATCATTTTTAAGGCAAATCAAAGAGTAGAATTTATAAAAAACCATCCTTAATGGAACCCCCTTTGTTTCAGGGTGACACAGAGGAAACGTCCTTGAATAGAAGACCCTCTGGGGCCCCTAGGGTCAGGCCTTCTGTGATCACAATGTGCAGCACAAACGTGAAAATACATGGAGGCTTGGAACCCCAATTCTCAGCTCCCAGAGCACATGGAGGAGAGTCTTTATCAGAACTGCTTTTCAAAGGCTGCTTGGCCACAGCATATAGTATGACTTTGTTCTTAGAGTTACATTTTAACTGACAAAGTTTAACAACAACTGTGACTTATGGCCTTCTAAAATTGGCAGCAGAAAAATGAACTGAGGAAGTAATGGAAAAAACCACAAGAGAAGCTACTCTGTATTATGTGCTGTTCTGTTTTTTTTTTTGTTTATTTATTTTTCCTTTCCAAGCATGTGTGTGTGCATGTGTGCATGTGTGTATATGTATGTTTCTAATGGTAGAAAATATTTTCCAGATACACTGTCCTGGAATTCCCAAGTACATATTTATGCCAAATTTATAAAAAGCAGCTGCAGACAAGGTTGACTGAATGGCTTCTTCATTGTCCAGCTACCAGAAGGTACTTGGGTTTTCACTCTGTCACCAGGGTGCAGATTTACTTTTAATACTCTCACTTTCCCCTTTTTACATCAGAAGGGGGACCAACCTGTGGCTTGTGAACTGGAGGAACTGCAGTTCCTCATACTCTTCAAAGTTTTCAAATCACACTGATGATTTATACGACACACTTGAGTGATGAGTTACTATCATTACAGTCCCTCAAACTCTCCACATATGAACCTATCAGTGCCAACATCCATTCCACAAATACCCCCAGGATGGCTCAGCGGGGCTGTGACTGGCACACAACTTCAGCTTTCAGGACTGTTGGGACCCACAGTGGAACACCCAAAGCTAAGTCCACCGTGTCCATCTTCCTAGCTCCTCACTCTTGGCCACAGCAAGGACCTCTTCCCACGGGTCTAATCTTCCCAGCTTCTTCCTCATCTGCCTGAGATCTCTCCACGCCTGTCTCCAGAAAGTTCCAGTGCCACGTAGATTAGGAGCTCTGGGTTCATCAGACTTTCCTCCACCCCTGGGAAATCTCCAGTGGTCATCGGCTTCTGCACTCAATTTGCATGCTACTGACCCAGATGGG